CCCCCCCCCCCCCCCCCCCCCCCCCCCCCCCCCCCCCTCCTTTGCCAGTTTGCGCCCGGAGGTCACCAGTTCGCGCAACCAAGCATGATGTATCAGCAGCAGATGGGGATGTACCCCCAAGGGTTCATCCCGCAGCAGGGGATGGGAATGCCGCAGGTACATTTGAGTGTTATGGAGTCTAGTGATGGTGATTTGCAGAGGCGTTGTGGGCTGTGAACGCTCTTCGTGGCGAGCGAGAACGGCCGTGTTTTTGTGTTTGTAAGAGGCCCTTGTGTGCGTCCGCCCCCCAGAATCGTATGCACTTATCTTGGACTAGCGGCTAACTTGACACGAAAATGAGCCGCTATTTTGTAGTTACATACCTTCGAAGTATAGGCAAGGCCGACGTCATGATGCTCGTCACAACAGGAAGTACTTTCGTTACATGAACGTGCGGTGCGATATCTCGTGTAACACTGTCCACCCCCCAACATCCTTGTTGTATACTCGTTCCCCCACCCAGGGAATGCCGGGCCAAGTCCCAGGCCTCGCGGGCGTACCCCCCCCTCCGAGTCCCGTGGGCCCCCGAGGCTCGACTGCCGGCGTCGGCGGCGTCGGCGGCGCCACCCCGGCGGCTCCCGCGGCCCCCGGCAGCGCGGGCGGCCCGAGCGGCACGGTGGGGGTGCCCCCGTCCCCCCTTGGGGGGCCCGCGGCGCCCCCGAAGAGAAGAGCCGCACTCGAGATCGTCGACCCGTCTACGGGAAAGCCCATCGACTTCTCGGAGGGCGGCGGGAGGGGCGGGGGCGGGTTGGGCCCGCCGGCTGCGGCGGGGGCGGGGGCGGCGGGAGCGGTGGCCCCCGGAAGGTCTCCCAGGCTAGGGGCGGCGGGCGTTTCGGACGCGGCGAAGGAGATGCGCGAGAAGGCGCAGGCGGCGCTCAAGGGGGAAACCCTGCCGCCGCCGTCGCCCTCTTCTTCCGCGGTGGCGGCGGCCAAGGGCGGAGGATCGTCCGCGCCGCCCGCTACGTTCGCCGCCGGCGCGGGAGCGGCGAGTTCGCCGCCGGCGTTCAAGGGCCCGGCCCCCGCCGCCGCCGCGGCGACGTCCCGGGGCGCGCCGGCGCCGAAGGCCGACCGTGTGCCTGCCGCCGGTGATACGGTAGAAGTGTCGTTCGGCAGCTACAGCGACCCCGCTGCCGCGGCTGCCAAGACGGACGCCGACGCTAACGCGGTGGCGGTGAAGGAGGCTGCCGCTAAGAAGGAAGCAGAAGCAGCAGCAGCAGCGGCGGCGGAGGCGGCCGCGAAGACGAAGGCCGCCGAAGAGGTGTGTTGTGAGCGTGTTTATTATTAGGATCGACCGCGCTAACCGGCTGACCAATGAAAAGACGTCAGTCTCAGTGCGGCGGGAAACACAAAATGTTTCTATAGTCCACTATCTGGGTGCGTGTGTTCGTGTGCTGGATCGAGTGGTTCTGTTCGTGCCTTGCTTCCAGCACTGTTTCGGTCGAGGTCAACTCCTTTTGGGTGGGTGGGGCGCGACCATGCTTCGCAAGGAAAATCATCAATTATCCCACATGCCTCCCCGCCGGGCTTCGTCCATTCAAACGTCGCATCCCATGTTTTCACACACGCACGTTTTTTACCGCACTGGTTACATCCGTGACATCATTTCATCCAGCTAAGACCGGGCTTTCGTCATCGCCCCACTGGCAATCGCGAGATCGGTGCAGTCTTGAAGGAATTTCGGCCCTCTTCGTTCCTCCGTGATATTTGAGCGGACACGTCTCTCGCCACTGGCTTAGCAGGTTCGCGTTGTTTGATGCTACTCCAATCAGTCTGTTGCAAGCTCACGCACGTGCGCTGTCCGCCGCCCACGTTGTCTACTTACTTGCTTGTTCCCATTGCTTGGATGGCGGCAGGCTAAAAAGAAGAAAGAGGCCGAGGAGGCCGCCGCCGCGAAGGCGAAGGCCAAGGCCGCCGCAGAGGAGGTACCGTGCCACTTCTATACCTTGTGCGACCTTCCCTCCCTCAAAGGACCGCCTTCGCGAGGATATTAAGCGTTAGACATATCCCTAACCCGCAACCCCCGCTAAAATCAAGCTGGCTAGATATCCTCGCTGCGGCTACTGCCCCCCGAACACGGTGTCGACCAAATATTGGGACCTTATCTGCAGTTGGTCTTTGTTGGGAGGTGTTGTTCTGCGTGTGGCTGGCCTTGGCTGTTGTTAACGGGATTACAGTTGGAGGTGCCCGCTGGTCTTCGCTGTGGAGAGAGACGTGTCTCACCCTCTCTTTCCATTCTTTTCGCGGGACTGCGATTCAGCGTGATCCCCCTGCGCGCGCGCTGAATGTGCTCAAACGCAGGCACAGAAGCAAGCCGACTTGAAAAAGAAGGCGGCGGAGGAGGAAGCCCGCGCGAAGAAGGAAGCAGAGGCCAAGAAGGTGAGCTGCTGCTGCTGCTGCTGCTGCTGCTGCTACTGCTGCTACTGCTGCTACTGCTGCTGTTGCTGGTAGGGACTAGGGTGGTGTCTCTTGGCGGTACTGCCTAAGGTATCAACGCAGCCGTTTGTTGAGGACAGGGTCGGCTGTTCCCTTCCCAAAAGAAGAGTTCACCCAAGTGTTGGTATAAAGGGCCTTCCTCGAGGATTTAGTTCTGAGCAAGCCGGAAGATGTCCGTTCGCCTCTGGGTGGTATCTACAAGGGCCACGTCGCCCCCACCAGCAGGAATTCCTCAGCTCGTTCCTAACACGGGCGAGGCTCGATCGCGCTGAGTCTGGCTTGGTTGGTTCATCTATAGTGGCCGGTTCTAATACCCGCAGGAGTCTGTGCTGCGTTTTGTTTGGCTGACTCATTGCGGGAGAAACCTGGGGACTGGGGATTCGAGTAGCGTGAAAGGTTGTGCTATTTCTGATCACCGCTACTGCTGTGTGTATGGTGATGGGTTTGGGACCCGTAGCCACATACTGGTGGCCAATTCGCCCCCGTACAGCAGCGTTGGCGTTTATGTTGCTTGTTGTGTTGATGTTGATCGTGTTTCTCTTATATGGCGGTCCCGTATTTAATGGTTGGTGTCCCACCAGGCGGCGGCGGCGGCCGCTGACGCCAAGGCGGCCGCAGCGAAGAAGGCTAGCGAAGATGCAAAGGCAGCCAAGGCTAAGGTGAACGAACATCGACCCTGCCTACTTGTTATTATGTCATGCCCTTTGCTTCTTGTACCGTGATGGAGGCTGTTTGCTTTTGTCGGGAAGGCCAAGAAAAGACGAGGATTGGATTGTGAGGATAGGAGCTCCTTGTTGTAGGCCATGCCTTGTGCGGGTTGTGCTGAAGGAGGTTTTATGCTTCCATGAAGGAAGGCCAAGCAAAGCGAGAGGCTAGGATGGTGGGAGTAAAAAGGATCCCTGTCCTCTAAGTCATGCCTTGTGCGTGTTGTGCTGATGGCGGTCGCGTGCTTCCATGAAGGAAGGTAAGCTGCACGAGGCTTGGGTAGGAACTCTAGTCCGGGTGTCAGTCATTCAAAGCTCCCTTCATTCCTTCGTTTGGTTGATAACGAGCCCAGCCCCAAACGGATCTGTAATGCCGTGGGGCCCCAAAGAGCAGATCGGCGGTATTAAACAAAAGTGGGCACTATTCTTGCACACCCCCCCCCCCCCCCCC